AACACAGCGTTACAACATTGATGCAACATTGTTTCGAATAGCTGCAACATTGTTCCAACATTGCAACGCCGTGTTCCGCTAATTATCGTCACTGCAAATCGTCCCGTGTAACATCACGTTTGGACCGCCTCGGCGGTTATGTAGTTATTCCTGTTGTTTGGAGCTGGCCGTGCGGACTCCCTGTTAAAATCTTTACCCTCCGTAGAGCTGAGCACTCCCCACCCCATCCCACCCCACCCTTCTTTTTCCTTCTCTCTGCGTTAGCGTTTGACTATGGCTCCAACTGATTGAGTAGAAATCAGGTGTTTGATTGGCTACCCGAGCTGCAAGATAGGCCTCTAGAGAACTCCTGCTTTATTCAGACAAGATTATGTATTGACGGAGCTTATTAGATCAAGATAGCAAGACATTGGCCCCGCTCTCCAGCCACTCTGACCTCACACTTTACAGCACACTAATCTTTGGGTTTCCTGTGGTTCGTTGGCTGTCCTGTCGCTATATAGGCGACTTACAATGTAGATTTTTGTGACAGGGTGATTTTTAGCAGAAATGGCCAGCGGTATCATAATAACTTAATTTACAATCGTAACACAGCTGTTGCCTCATTCTTACTGCGTTACGTTTCGCACATTGTGGCGCGTGTAAACACTTTCAAAATATTTTCGTATGGCTTAAAACGGGCCAATAAAGATCCAAATCACAAAGAAGTAGAACTCATGAGAGTAGGACTCTCTTGTAGTCCATTATCCCACTACTGTTAATTCAGCCAATAAAAGGGTCTATAATTAGCAGTTCGATTCATCGAATCTGAGATTACTTTTTACTGCCCAGCATCTGCTCACAGCATTATTCTTAAAATTTGTAACCTCTAATCAACAATGCGTATTTCTTTCTTGATATTCTTACACCAGGTGGAGGAATATTTTCAAGATTTCGACCCTCTTCGTCATGGGTCCATTAGTCGAAGTCAGTTCCGGCGATGCTTAAGCTCCATGGGTCAGCCGAATTTGACAGATGAACAGTTTGAAGTACTGGCCCAGTACTACAAAGATCCTAAGATTCCCGGTAACGTCATGTGGACTAGATTCCTGACTGATACTGAAATGGGTGAGTGACACTTTATGCTGGCAGCTATACTGAGGATCATTATACGTCTCTGGAAAACTGCCTTCCTACCCCTCCCCTAAGCCAACATTTTGCCCTAAGCGAGAAGTAAGTGTTAATGTTGGCATAGGGGAGTGGTAGGTGGCAAGTTTCCCCAGAAAGGAGCTGTGTCGCGAAATTCAAATTTCAGAGAGACACGTAGTGGCAAGCTCTCCTTCCTTTTCCCGCCCCGCCGCCAGAGCTCCCCGGAGAGCTTGCTAGCACGCTAGAGGGATTGCATTGTATTTTTCATTTAGACAAATCTGATTCCAAAACTGAAACTCTCATATTGAAGACCAAGTCTGTCAAATAGATGGAGCCAAGATCTTACTAATGCTAACAATTTCTTTGCTCAGTATTTACACGCCGTGGACTTGAGAAGGCTCCTACATACGAAGTACCCTCCATGGAGACTTTTCAGATGAGTAGGCCTGGGGCGGGCTCAGACCGCCTTTCCATGGAAGACGAGGAGTTCCTGCAAAGAATCACACAGCGCATGCGCCGAAAGCTGATTGAACAGCGGATTCTATCTAAGCCTTGCTTCCAAGATTTTGACAAGTGAGTCGCAACAATTTAAGCGAAAATAGATCACGTTTTGATTATCACGAAAATGAAATGGATTGCAATTTGAACGAAAGATGTGGCCATCTAGTTTCATGTAATTTTTTTTAAGACGTCATTGTAGGTTGAACGCAGATGAGCTTACTGTGATTTTCCGCTTTGAAACCGTGCAAAATACGAGTTACTTTTTGCTACCTACACAGGCATAATAACGGTCACGTAACCAAGATCCAAGCCAGTCAATGTCTACACACACTCGGACTGACGGATGATCCAGAGGAGATAAAGGTAATGAAACAAAATTAACGTTGGGACCTGCCCTTCCCCTCCCCCCGCCCCCGCCAACAAAAAGCGATGCGTTTTCATTTTCGTTTTACGATTATTGTAAACTGAGCAAAGATACCTACTACTGTTCAACTGCTTTTATGCGAATCATCACACTAATGAATTCCATGTCCAGACTTAAAAGATCATTCATGCACAGCATCATGAGTTATAAGCGCCTTTTACATTGCAAGAAAGACTACCATAAGGAAGTTTTGCTCTGTAGCTTTTATTTGAATTTTCACACCGTAGGATTTCATACGGCATGGACGCAGAAGTTAGAACCAACCACCTTGTAAGGCAAAACAGATCGCTGATCGCGTCTGTCATCCCAGTGACGTAGGTGTTTTATCTGCCATTTTTTCATCGTTTTGTAATTTTTTGTTGTGCAGATCTTACAGTCGCGCTACTCAGACGATATCGGTTTTAATTACATTCAGTTTCTGGAAGATCTTCAGGTAAGAGGAAGTAACGCATTTTAACGTGCTGTCTAGCTATCATTAGAGATGTGTAGCACAATTTGAAACTGCATTCTAAAGTTCCACAAAGCATTTATCTTAAATTACATGCGAAAATTAGCGACATGAACACCTAAGATTTGTGCCACCAAAAAAGGTCAAAGTATAGTCTTTTGCCATTACCAGAGTTGTAGTGAGCTATGAGACAAAGTTTGTTAAGGTGACACGATGGGGTTTTTTCATGGTCAATACCTGCGAAATTTAAGCATAAACTACGTCGCCATTAACAAAGATTTGGAAAAATTACACCACAGCTGTATTAGATGAAGATAAAAATTTGTTATGATCAGGGTTACAGTGGCATCGGAGTTGTCATTACAACAAAATGACGCCATTACTTATTTTACTTGCAGCTGTATTTCTTGTCACTGGGAACTCTTCTTCCAAAATCGTTTACGGGAGTTTATTCTTCCAATGGCCGCTTCGTTGTCCGTGACGTTTAAGCAAAATCTCTGAGAACGTAATCGAGATATTTTGGGATGAATTTTGTTATGGTCTCAAATACAGTAAAAACTGGGCAAACTTTACGTTTGGCCGTTATCTGTAGTAAACGAAGCGCTTTTAAAATGAAATTTTACTTCACAGTAGTTTCAATTTCAAGTAAAATAAGTAAGGGCGTCGTTTCATTGCTATGACAACTCCGATGTCATTGTAACCCTGATCATAACAAATCTTTCTCTTTATCAAATACAGCTGTGGTGGTAATTGTTCCAAATCTTTGTAATAGCGGCGTATAGTTTATGCTCAAACTTGACGTTGAAAAACCCCATCGAGCCACCTAAAACTAAACAAATCTACAATGGCCTCGTTGCCATGGCCATGCTACGCTGCATTACGCAAAAAATCCTGGTTGCGAAATCGTCTCATGTAACATCACCTTTAGTCTTACATTAGTGGTGAAGTAAAGTCGTTTATTGTATTCAGTTGTTGTAAATGTCTATTATGGCCCTAAAAGTGCCTTTAGTTCCACTCGGCTCAAAACACCGAGGGTCTGTTTACGCAGAGGGACTGGGTGCTCGACTGTGAGCTACCCTGAGAGAGCCAAACTTTCATTTCCTTTGTGGTGCTTTCATGCTAGATGTTTATAGGCACCCTTTTCGAGTTTTCCCCCTTCTTGTTTGCTACTCTCCAAGTAAATAACTCGTCCTTAAACTTGTCCTTTGTAGTCAATAGACCATTTCTCTTATTGCAGTGGTAAAAATCAACCACTTTTTGATGTTTTTTCCCCTATCGGATAGCCATCAGAGAAACCAGAAATGAAATACCTACAAAGATTAGAAGAGCTGAAACTCACAAACCAGAAACACCTGCCTGACTTGGGCGACAACAACTTCGAGAAAATCATGTACAAGATTAAATGCAAAGTGATGAAGGAACGAATGAGGCTCAACGAGTTTTTTAAGGATTACGACAAGCTTCGCACTGGCAGAATATTAAAGACGCTCTTCCCAAGAGCCATGGATCTTTCTTCCCTCAAGCTCACGAAAGTTGAGGTGGAACAGCTTATGGAGAGGTGGGTTACGAGAGAGCATAAGGGAAAGTGACCTCCTTTTGTTTTATTTGTTTGTTTGTTTGTTTTTTGTCAATGACCGGTGCAATGGAAACAAGAGTTTTTATTCGTAAATCTTGTAGTTATACCTTAAGTTTGATTACCGATTACCTTAAATTCTCTATAAAGCCCTCCCTCTCAAATAAGGCCCCCCTCTTCAGGGAAAGAAAATTCTCCAGTAAATTTGCATAGATGCTGCTCACGTGAGTGAAAACGCTCCATAGGAAGTTATTCCGTAAATCAATCAGAAGTTCAACGCAAATACATTTTACGACCACGTAACGAGTACAGGAGACCTAGTTTAAACTAACCAAGACAGTGGACGTGTCGGCTTATAAAGGACGAAATAAGGGTATTAAAACTTTTCAAACGAAATTCAATATTAACCGTTACTGTTCACGCTCTCTTTTTCAGATATACCGCATTTGGCTATCCAGACTACGTAAACTATACAGCATTTGTGGAAGAGATCGAGTCTATTTTCACCTTAAATAGTACGTAACAGTTTGCATTAATATTGTCCTAAGCTATTTCTACACGTAAGGCTATCTGGTATTCTTGGTTTGCAACCACGTGACCAGGCGGCCATGTTGGGGGTCAAAATAATAGAATTTTTTTGGCGAAAAATTTACATGAAAATAGAGTTTAGTTCCCAGAGGAGAGGAATGCTTTTATTCTTGACGACCAACATGGCCTTCGTGACGTCACGTGCAAACCAGCAATAACATGAATAGCAACTGCCCAGTCAGTGCTGAAAAAAGTCGTTCACACACATCGAATATCGTGCCGGAGCGCTTGGCCGAGAGGATTTGATACAATAAATCCCAGTCCTCACTCTTGAATATTTAATTTCGTCTCAGTGGGTTCCAGTTCTAAATCCTAATTATTCACCTTCTCCACGGTCCGAATAACAGTTCACTGTACACCGAAGGGTGGCACAGAATCTAACCGATATGTGACGCTCGACTTTCGAGATCAACGTGGCGCTGTTTGGCTACGTACCAGAAATCGCGCCGAAATCACCGTCCTTTTGTGTGAACAGAAGCCCTCTCCGGTATAGTTTTCGAGCCTGCGCAAAAGCTATCTGGTATAGCGTGAACATAGCCTTTGATTTAGCAAATCAATGGATATAAATTTACGCGCGTTTTGATTGAATATGCCACTTCCTAGTTCCAAAAACCCTCACTTTCAAAATGAGACCTAGGTGCCCAACCTTTCTTGTGAAAATCAGTTTTATCTGCATGAGAATGAAAAATCATTTCCATATCAAAGGCTCAGCACCTACCTTCGTTTTGAAACAGAGGCCCGGGGGAACTCGGAAATGGCCTATTCCTTAACTCAAAATATTCTGGGCTATTCAACTCCCTCTATTTTATCTCATTTTACAAATACAGTAGACCCACTATAACTCGAACTATGAAGGGGAACGAAAAACAGTTCGAGTGCGCGAGGGTTCTAGTTATCAGGGTTTGAGAGTTTACTGATATTTCAGCAACTTAGTATACAGTAGAGTGCGAATAAGACGTGCATCATCAGAAACTGTAAGATAAAGATAATACTGGGAAATAACTGTCAAATACGTGATCTGTTCGTTGCTTTTAAGCTTATTAAAAACAAATTGCTGTAGTGTTAGTTTTATAGTGTTTTTGCCGCGTACACGCCAAGAAGAGCTAATGGAATGGCATGCGTGGTGCGTCCTCGAGTTATCGAGGTACATTTGATTAAGGGAAACAAAACTTAGTTCTAGTTAGTGGGGAATTCGAGTTATCCGAATAAAAATGACTGAAAAGTAGGATCAAATCCAAGAGAAATAGAACTTAGTTCGAGTTATCCGAGTCCGAGTTACCAGGGTTCTACTGTACGGCAAAAACTGTTTCAAAAGTCACCTCCAATGCTCTTCCTGGGTTAATTTTTTAAATGTTGACGAATTCCTCAAGTTGAAATTTCAAGGACCGTATCCAAAGTTTGAACAAAAAATGGAGATTTTTTGTTGTCGTTCTCTCTGAAACTTTACATGTCGTGTCGTGCGATGAACGCAAAGAAATGTTCCCAGAAGTGTGATGCACGTGCAGAGCAGTTGTTTTGCTCGTTGTTTAACATATCGCATTTTTCGACATTCTCTCTTTCTTCGTTATCGTGGTAGCTTTGATTACGCTCCCAAATGATAAAATAACAGGTTTAAGACTCATGAATATATTATCAGAGTGTTTAAAAAGCCAAGTTAAAACACCCGAGACAACCTTTGAAAGAACCATGAGGCTAAAGAGATTTTAAAAATCACTACTTGTAATCCTTGGTGATCTGCCTCAATTTAGCCATGCGTGTCTTAAATATTTTCTGTGATAACGGAATGTCCCTTTACCGTTCAAACGGTAATTTTCATATTACACCTAAATTGGAGGCCAATTCTTAATTTTTGAACTTGGCTTTACTACGTGACA